CTGTGCCACATAAGGGAGCTGCTGCTGATTTTGTCACTTATCTGTCATCCATCGTGTTGGGAGCAGTTTTATTCTCAGAGTAGAAATTAAAGCTCTTTGCCTGGGGAAAGTAGAAGAGCAAAATACCAAAACAAAATGCCTGCTTTCACTCCTGCGTTATTTGACATATTTATTTAAACAAAAAAGTGGTTAGAAACTCATGTAAGTAAAAATTTAACAGCTAGAGAATTACTAATCCTTTTGTGTTTAATTGAAGGCGGTTAATTTGATGTATGTTGCATATCAAGTTGTACAGTTCCCAGGATGAGTGTTGTGTAAATGCAGTAGCAATGGCTGAGGCTGGGTGTTGGTACCAACATGGTGTAAGGCTTCCTGCTGCCCAGTTACCTGTTTGTCAAACCACAGCCACTGTCACTTAGGGCAGGCAGCAAAATCTCATCCAGGTGCCACAGGGCTCAAAGGAGGAGCAGGGACAACAACTGCTCCTTTCCCAAATAAACTCCTAATCCCTTCTTGAAGTACCAATTTAAATACAACTCAAAGCAAGCATTGCCAGGTGTCTTTTATGTTTGTTTTTAATTAGCAATGTAAATTTAGTTTTAATTTTTCATGCAGCTGGTGGGTTTTTGCTCTGTGAGACACCAGCTTGCTTTAGCAGACTTGGCAGGACTGTGGAGACACACACAGTGTGTCTGTGGGGCTTTGTGGCACCTGTCACACGGTGCCCTCCAGCCCAGGGGAAGGAGCTGTAGGTGGCATCTGCACTGAATAAATCTTCCTGACAGACAGGAATGCCTCCCTATCCATGGGATGTTGGCCTTCCCCAAACCCCTTGGATGCTGCCTTTCACTGCCTCCTCCTGCCCCTTGGATCACTAATCCTGGGTAGCTCCAAGCAGCAAAGAGCTTTTGCTTCTCCCAGAGTGTTACTTCTAGACCTGGGAATTAAAATCCCTCTGGCCCCTGCCCAGGTGAGGCTGCCAGCAGGACCTCAGGTGCACCCATGGGCTGTCAGAGAGCTCTGCCACACTGTCCTTGTGGTCCATAATCAGCTGGATGGGATCCCCAAGTTGTTTACATCCTTGCTGGCTGTGGTGTACAATAAATGTCAGCTTCCATGTCTCCCTCCCCTCTACCAGACTGTTTATTTTAATGCTGTTTAAAGAAGAGATTAAAAGTTTAAAAATCAGTGATTTTAAATGTAGGAAAATTGAATTCTGACAAAGGCAGACTTACTTTAGTAGTGCATTATTTGACATCTTAAAGTGGAATATTCATTAGTGCTCAGTTAAACTCCAGTTCTCCAGAAGTCTGTGCAGTCAGTAGCAAAGTAAATGGTGCTGAGCTGGGCCACTGCAGACCTTGTGTTCAACTCTGCCCTCCCTCTCCTCTGCATTTGTAGGCTGAAGGGAAATATAAGGACGACCCTGTTGATCTGCGCCTTGATATTGAACGCCGTAAAAAACATAAGGAAAGAGATCTTAAACGCGATAAATCCAGGGAGTCGGTGGACTCGAGAGATTCAAGTCACTCAAGGGAAAGATCAACTGAGAAAACGGAGAAAAGTCACAAAGGCTCCAAGAAAAAGTATGTAGGAAACCCAGTAGCCATTTCCTTGTGCCTCTCGTGTCTCTGCTGCTCAGGTTGGAGATGACACCGTGTACAACAGTTGTGCACACAGTTGTGCACCTGTGACATAACTCCTCCAGTGGCCTGAGCTACCCCTCTGTGTGTGGTCTCGCTATCATTGTATCTCTCAGAAACACTAAATAATTGTAAAAGGTAGATGGGAAAAGCTCCATGTGTCAGGATGGGTGAGTCACTTTTCCTTCTTGTTCCTGTTGTGTCAAGAGAGAAACAGCCGTGTTAAAATGACTTGGCTTTGATGTTCATTTCATCCTTTTCTATAAGCTTAATTTTCCATTTGACTAAAACTCCATGGATGCATGCTAAGCTGAGAGCAGATGGCGTAAACACCTTAGGAAGGAGCAACAAGTTCCTTCAGGAGAGGTCTTGGGCCCTGTGTTAAAGCCTCTTGTAGTAGGAAAGGGAAAGCATGGCAGTGATAGAGAGTGGTAAAGAAGTGGTTTTGTATCTGATGGGTCACAGCTGAGTGGCTAATGCTGTTGTGTCCCACTCCCCTCCATTCCCACCACTGGAACAGGAAACACCGACGGGTGCGTGAGAGATCCAGGTCCAGCTCATCATCGTCATGGTCCTCCCATTCAGTCAAAGCAGAGGAGTATCCCGAGGAGACTGAGGAGAGGGAGGAGAGCTCCACAGGCTTTGACAAGTCTCGGCTTGGAACTAAGGAATTCTCTGGTCCAAATGAGAGAGGAAGAGCAAGAGGAACCTTTGTGAGTGTTCTCCACCCCTGCCCCAAATGGTCTCCACCTGTGCCCTGAGGGTTGATTCCCAAAGTGGGCAGGAAGTGGCTGTTGTGTGTTCTCAGTTAAAGCTGCCCTAGAGGAGAAACCCCCAGGGTGATAAGCCCCAGTGGAATCGCTCCAGGTCTGGGGTATAAACCAGGCTGCTGGGGGTGTGCCGTGGGCAGCAAACTCCAGATGGGAGGAGCAGAACAAAGCCTGGAAGCTTCTGTGCCTTAGCGATGCTGAGCAGCCCGATGGGCACACGCTGTGCTTCCACTGGGGTTTGGCCACGCTCCTGTGTGCAGTCCATGTACAGAGGGGTCTCACCTGCTTGAGGTGGCCCTGAAATGCCTCTAGGTGATCTTCATCAGCTTTACAGGAGCTGGATTTGCTGTGTGTGATCAGATGAACTAAAACCCCGAAACCATGAGTGCAGGAGGTGGTGCAGCCCCGCTAAAGCTGTCCTCTTGCTTTAGTGATAGGTTTGAGAGGTGTTTTGGATGGGATGTTGGGTATCTTGGCTGGAGTGGGAGGATACTGCCTCTGCAGCTGTTCTATTTTTCTCCTCTGTGTTGCTGTTGCAGCAGTTCAGAGCTCGAGGGAGAGGATGGGGCAGAGGCAACTTTTCAGGCAACAACAACAGCAACAGCGGCGGCAACAACGACTTCCAGAAGCGCAGCAGGGAGGAGGAGTGGGACCCTGAGTACACACCTAAGAGCAAGAAATACTACCTGGTACGTACCTGGGTGCTGAGACACCCGTGCGCTCCAGGTGTGTCCGGTCTCAGGTGCTTTAGAGGCCAAAGCACCCGCTGTCACTGACGCACCAGGTAAGGCTTCGGGCGACGCTTCACGGGAGGCTGCTGGCTCCTGCCTAAAGAGAGCTTGTTCCTGCTCCCTGTAGAGTGGTTCCCATTAAGTGGATCCCCAAGGGCGGTCGCAGAGGCGCGGTGCAGGGCGGTGCCAACCTGTCTCACCTGCTGTCCTTGGCTTCCCGTGCAGCACGACGACCGCGAGGGCGAGGGCACGGACAAGTGGGTGAACAGGGGCCGCGGCCGTGGCGCCTTCCCCCGGGGAAGAGGCCGCTTCATGTTCCGCAAGTCCAGCACCAGCCCCAAGTGGGCTCATGACAAGTTCAGTGGGGAAGAGGGAGAAATCGAAGACGACGAAAGCGGAACGGAAAACCGGGAGGAAAAGGACGCCCTGCAGACGACGGCCGAGTAGCCGCGGGGCCCGCGCGGTGCTGGGAGCCCTGGCAGGAGGGGAGGGGTCAGGCTGGTGCTGGGGTGTCAGGGTGATCCCCACGTGCTGAGCGGAGCCCTGGAGAGCAGCTCGGAAACCATCCCGACGTTGTTTAACTGCATTTCCAGAGTTCAGCCTCCCCAAGCACGGACTGGGACTGACCCATCATTTACGCTCGGATCCACTCCTGGAGTTTCTCTTCCCAAAGACTTCCCTTCTGGACTGGATACGGTCAAGCGCTGGGTGAGACCCCAGATTTTCCCTTCTCTGTGACCTTATGGATGGTCGGTTATTTTTTGGCAACAGGCTTTGAGGACGATGTGGTTTTAGTTTGTGCCCACCTGACCTCGCCTGTCCTGACTTTTTGTTTCTCTTTTATAATTTGACCCAGTGGTAGTCGGGGTTCACTCGCCCGCTCAAATTTTCCTCCCCTATTGTGTATTCAATTTTCTAAATTCTGCTTATTTTAGGCCTTTACATACGTAGTAGCATCAATTCAGAGATAATTTTGGAAACTATTTTTGGTTCTTATAAATAAGAAAATAATGAAGCATGTGAGTAAACATCTAAATGTTCATTTGTTGGGACCAAACTGCTATGACTTTTTTTTTTTTTAAACTTTTTTTAATGTAACAGTTGAGTTTAGGGCCTTTTAAAAATTTTTGTTTTCCTTTTATGTTGGAAGTTAACAAAATTAGCATGGTTTAAAAGAGAAAAAAAATTACACCCTACTTCTGGCCACTGTTTGTGTTCACTATTAGGCCTGGTGTGTGCTGGACCCCAAACTGCTTGTAGCATTTGTGTCTCCTCCCTGCAGCTGGTTGTGACCCGAGTGCCCTTTCCAAGGTGACACAGTTTTCTAAGGAACTTCCGAATTCTTCTTGGGGAAAAAAATATAAATGGAGATGAGAATTTTTCAATATTTTTTATTAATCTTTTTATAAAACCAAAAGGCAGATTCCTCCTGAGCTGCTTGAGGACGGCCCTTAGGATGCATTTCTTTTTATCTTCTACTTTAAAGATATTCTGGAGCAGTTTGTGGAGGGTTCCCAGCCAGGTCGTGAGCCTGGGCGGGGAGGCACAGCCGTGCCCCTGCTCCCCCTGTCCCTCTCCCTAGGATTGCTGTGCTGTTCCCCACACACCAGCTAGAGTTTGGTTTGTTTTGACTTGAACAGTTCCTGTTTAGCAAAGCCCCGAAGTTTGTTTATGCAAATAAAATACAATAAAATAAGTCGTAGGTGTAACTCTGCTTGGTTTGTGTCCTGAGTTGCTGGGTGGGAGCCTGAAAGGAGCAACAGGGGAGCAACTCCCTGTTGGGTTTTATGCACTAATAGATCATTCAGCCCCTGTTTTGGCACTGATTGCCTGGGGACAGTGGTGACACTTGCTGCCAGCAGGGATTGTGTCACCCGGGCACAGGAGCAGCTCCATCCTTCCCACACCCGAGCTCCTCCAGGAGCTCACACGGGCTGGTCCCGGTGCTGGGCAGCTGCAGCCCCGTGTGCTGCCCTGGCTGGTGCCCAGCAGCAGCTGCTTCTCCATCGCTGCCATCCCAAGGGAGGCTGCTGGGGGGCTGCTGCCTGTGCAGCCTCTGCAGGAGCTCAGCTTTCCTGGCTGCTGTGGGTGACGGTGTTGGCCAAGAGCTCTTGGGACAGTGCTGGGTTAACGGCTGGTGCTTCCCTTCACACTCAGCCTTGAGCCAGCCTGAGGAAATGGGTGCCCAGAGTTCCCAGCTCCTTGGCCTGAGTGGGCACACCTGGGGAGTGCAATGGAACCTCTGTTCTGTCACCCATCTCTGCCCCACAGCTGGTTCCCAGCCCTCCTCCCTGCCCCCAGCTCGGTATTGCTGGGGCAGATGCTTCGGCCAAAAGGAATATCCACGCTGTCTCCTGGACCGGGCAGTGGCCAGGGGCAGCCCTGGTGTCCCACTGACCCTTCACTCCCTGCGGAGGGGCAGCTGCAGCGTGGCCGCACCGCCCCTGCACTCACGGTCTGTGGGTTTCAGCCCCTCTGCGGTTTGGGTTTCACTTCCCCTCCAGCCGAGGGTGACAGAACCGCTGTGAGACCCGGCTGAGTGGGAGCTGTCACCCCGGCCCGGCTGCGCTCCCGGCTCCCCATCAGCCACGGCTCCCAGTGCCAGCAGCGAGCCCCCGCGGTGGCACGGATGGCCCAGTCTTGCCCCGGGAGAAGGTGGGTGAGGGCTCCAGGCTGGGGGTGGCCAGGGGACACATGGCTCTGGGGGCTCTGCCAGCGCTCCCTACCCACGCTCCCAGCGCCCTCCCGTCCCACCCTCACCCAAAGCCTCTCGCACAGCCGAAACCAGCGCTGCCGTCCTGGCACAGGGAGTCCCGTCGGCCCGGCCCTGGTGCCCATCCAGCCCGGGAAGGACACGAGGTGGGTTCGGGGAGCCGGGCCGGGGAGCAGGAGCCCCCCGTGGGGCACAGGGATGCGGCGTGGACCAGCACTGAGGTGCCCTCTGCTTCAACTTCCTTCCCAGCGTGGAGCCGATTTCCTCCGGCATCACGTGCACGGCGTGGGGCCGGGGCAGCCTGGCACGGCACGGCACGGCTCGGCCTCGGGGCAGCCCCGCAGCGGCAGGCAGGAGGGTCCCGCGCACGGGATCATCCCCAGGTTAGCGCCCTTGTGTGATCGTGCTCCAGGGCCGGGCCGTGCCAGGGGCCCGGGGGAGCTGCCGGCGAGGGGCGGGCAGGATGCTGGGCACTTCTGGGCACTTCTGGGCACCATCACCCTGTGCCAGCGGAGCCGAGGAGCACTGGGGCCTTGGACTGGGGTGTTCTCATCCCTGCAGCCCTTGGTGCTTCAGCCTTGTCTTTGGGTGGGCAATACCAGCACCATTTCTGGTGTCTGCGAGGTCTCTGTGACAAGGGCTGTGCTGGTGGCAGCAGCAGGACTGCTGGCCCACCATGGGGTCAACATGGCCCACCACAGGGACATGGTGGCCCTCCACAGGGACAGCATGGCCAACCGTGGTGACAGGGGGGCCTGCCATGGTGACAGAGTGGTCCATCATGGCCTGATGTCCTGTATCCCACCACGCCAGTGGGCTTGTCCTGCTGTGACCCCAGGGTTCAGCAGTTCAGGGATGCTGCTGAGCCGTGGATGGCGGCAGGATGACACCCCGGTGGCAGGATGACACCCTGCCCGTGCCGCAGAGCTCACGGCAGCTCTGCAGCTGCCTGCTCCGCCTCACACAGAGGAAGCGCCGACCACAGCGGGGCTGGTGTGGGGCTGGGAGAGGCTGGAACAAGGGTCCCTCCTCAGCACCTACGAGCCCCTTTGCTCCCCAGCAGCTGCAACCAGAGAGAAGAACAAGGAGGGCGAGGACAGGGAGCCCCCCGGGTGAGTCCTGGGCTGGAGGAGAGGGAAGGGCAGGGATGTGCCTGGGCCAGGGCATGTCACGAGCAGGAAGCGCTTCCTGCCCACTCCTGTCAGTGCCGGTCCCGGCCCCAGCCCTGCTTCTGCCTCCTCTCCCCAGAGCGCCCAGCACCAGCGAGGATGGAGCCGACCAAGCTCCCACTCACCAAGAGGATGGCTCCTGCTCCCCCCATTCCTGCCAAGACCAAACCAGCGCCCGTGCTGGCCACCAAGTAAGAAACCTGTGGCTGTGCTGGGGTGTCCAGGGCCACTGCGATGTCCCAGTGCCAGCGCCATGCTCATGGCTGGCCTCGGCGTGGGGCTGGCACCTCCCTGGCTGTGCCACTCACACCTCTGCTCTCCCCAGGCCCAGTGACCCCCAGCCCAGTGCCTCAGCTGACATGGAGTGGGGCAGAGCCGGTGACCCAGGTAGGATTCAGGGGTGGGTGCGCCCTGCCCAGCACCAGGGGCTGATTCCTGTTCTTTCTTTGGCAGATGCCAATGGCTTCAACACGGTGTCAGTTACCACAGCCAGGCTGAGCCACCCCACAGCCACACGGCCACGAGTCCCCGGCCAGCGGCCACCCAGCATGGCCCTGGGGAGCACGGGGGGTCCCCATGGGGGGGAGCAGCCCCAGGGGCTGCCCCGTGCTGCCCTCTGTGCCCCTGTCCCCAGCACGGGGCAGGCGCCCGTCCTGCCGCGGAGCACAGAGGGGCTGGAGGTGCTGGAGGGGAGGTCTCTGGCCCTGGAGGACCTGAAGGCTGAGGTCCGCACCCTGCACATCCTTGTGGACCTGATGCGAGTCCAGCACCTGTGAGTGGGGATGGGGGTGTCAGGGGGTCCCCAGTGGCTCCTGGCTGCTTGTCCTGTCCCCAGCTGAGCCACCCTGGCGTGTTGCAGGCGGGACCTGCAGGAGCTGCGGCAGGAGCTGTGCCAGGAGCGGGCTCAGCGCCAGGCGCTGCAGGTGAGTCCCTGCCAGGGGTTGCCTTGTCTGGGGTCCCCTGTGCCCCCCAACAATCACAGCCTCTCTCCACAGGCAGAGATCGAGCGAGTGAGGAAGGGGCTGCCCTGTTAGCACGGGGGGGCAGGTGGGTGGCACATGGTTCCGTGTGCCCCCAGCACCCATCGGATACCAATGCCCACCCCACACCCAGGCACTGCTCCTTGAAGCATGACAGCCCCATGACCTGTAGAAATCGTTTAAAATAAACTATTTTGTGTACAAAGTGCTGTGTGGGGGTTGCTCAGGGCTGTTGGCTGCCATGCCCCTGAAGGGCTGGGCTGGTCCTGCCAGGCACAAAGGGTCCAACCATGGCGCAAGGGGTCCCTCCAGGGCTCGTGGCAGGGCCTCCTCCTCCTCCCCCTTCACCTCCTCCCCCTCCTCCTCCACCCCCGCACAGTTTCCCAGGCCAGCTCCAGTCCCAGCCCCAGCACATCCTGGCCTCCAGCCACTGCAGAACATCTGGAAAACATCTGGATCCTGCTGGCGCTGGCGGCGGGGGGAACCAGCCTGGGAAGGAGCTATTTTTATAAAGCTGCCGGGGAGGGGGCAGCGGGGCCCGGCACCCCGCGGGGCTGGGCTGGGATGGGGCAGGATGCGGCTCAGCCCGGCGGGAGCTGCCGCATCCCTGGGGAGCAGCGGCCGGCGCAGAGTCCAGCGGGAACATCCGCCTTGGTCCGGCCGCAGGGCGTGGGGTCACGGCGGGCGGCGCCGGAAAAGACCCGGCTAATTTTAGTGGGGACGGGAAGGGAATTGGCTCGGGGGGGAGTCGAGACCGTCCCTGTGTGCAGGGCCCCCAAAACTCCGGACCCGCCACGCTGGGCTCTAGTTCGTGTACAACAGCACCATGTTTGTGGGGCGGGAGCCCACGGCTCACACGGACGTACAGCCCGGCCCTGCCCCACGGGTGAAACCCCGGCGCAGCGAGGGCTGCCCTGTCCTTGTCCCTGTCCCCGCGTGTCCCGGGGCTGCTCGGCTGGTGCCAGCCGTCGTACCAATGGCTCAAAGTGCATCGTGTCCCACAGCGGCGGGGGCGAGCCCAGCCGTGACACCGGGGTCTGGCTCTCCGTGCTGCAGGGACAGTCCAAGGCAGCTCAGGGGCAGCCCCCCTGTCCCCCCGGTCGCTCCTGGCACGGTGTGGGATCAGCCGTGGGGGGAGCAGACACCGTGCCAGGGCAGCTGCCGGGCTCAGTAGTAGTGGACGCGGCCCAGGGTGCCGATGGTGCCGGATCCCAGGATGTCGGGCTGCCCGTTGCGCCAGATCTCGCGGATGATGCGCTCCCGCTCCTCCAGCCGCTGCGCCCGCTCCAGCTCCTCGGCCGACGCGAACACGTTCACGGCCAGCGCCCCGTCCCCGGGGCCGTGGCTCTCCAGCGGGATCTCGGTCACCGGCAGCAGCGACTCAGAGGCTGCGCGGTCCACGGTGTCCTCTTCGTCCTCGTCCTCGTCGTCGTCGTCCTCGCTGTCGCCGGGGCGCGCCGGGGGCCGCGGGGAGGGCCGGCAGGACAAGCGCAGCACCAGCAGGCACAGCGTGAGCACCAGCCCGAAGCAGACGCCCAGCACGAAGTAGAGCCCGAAGCTCTCGGGGTTGGCTGCGGGGGGAACAGAGGGGGTGAGGGACCTGCCCGCGCCTGCCGGGGCCCACCGTGACCTCCCGGACGCGTCCTGGCTCACCTCGGATGTGGGCGTACGCGGCCATGCTGTTGCTGAGCAGCTCCATGTCCCTCCGGCGACTCTCCATCCTTGTGCCTGGCAGTTCTCAGCGGCTCCAGGGATGGCACATGCTGGGCATCTGCGGGACACGGGCTGAGCAACGCTCTGCAGGAGCTGGGATCCCCCCCTAGCGCCCTGTCCCTCTCAAGGCCGTGCCCGGGTGTGCCCGGGGGCTCCTTGATGAGCTCCAGCTGAGCAGGGCTGGGCTGCTCCATCCAGGGCTGGAACCCCACGGATGCAGAGCTGGAGCTGTCCCAGTCCCGCCGCCCTCCGTCCTTCCTGAGGGACCGGGACGGATACGGCTCCTCCTGGCCACGGCATCAGGCGGATCTGTGGCACCGGGCCAGGGTTTGTGTCCCATGCCCGGCCATGGGATGGGTCACGGGGCAGAGCAGAGTCCCAGCACCAGGCTGCCGGTGCTCATGGGCACACACGTGTGCTCCACACACTCCTGGGGCAGCGTCCCTGTCCCTCTCCCTGTCCCCCACACTGCTCTGGCCCAGCTCCAGCCTTGGCCCTTTGCCGTGGGACCCTGCAGTGCAGGGACAAGGCCAGGCACAGTGCAAAGGCCATCAGGACAGGCCAGCGGTCAGGATGAGAGGCAGGACAGCGGGAAGGATGGGCAGCAGGGCAGTGGGAAGGATGGGAGGCAGGACACCGGGCAGGGCAGGGTGGGAGAAAATTTGGCCCTGGCAGGGGACGAGCTCATTCCCAGAAACGGCTCCAGAGAGGGAGGAATGAGGAAAGAAATGCAGAAAATGTGACACATCAGCAAAACCATCCCGGACGGTCCAGAGCTGAGGGGCCGCAGCACGCCCTGGAGCTGGGCAGCCCCTCTAGTGGGACACCCCAAAACAAGGCCAGCAGGGTCCCCAGGAGGGGCGGGTGCCCTCGCCATGGAGCAGCTGCTCGGCCAGCGCCTGCCCCTGCCCCGGCAAGGGGCTGCGGTGGGGCAGGAGGGGCACAGCCCACCATGGAACCCCAGGGATCCCCTGCCGCTGGCGGGTGCTGATGGGGGCCGGGCTGGCTGTAGGGCCCTGCGGGTCCCCAAGAGCCGAGCCCCGAGTTGCTCAGCGCACTCCCCGAGCACCACACCGTGTCCCCGAGCCGCCTGCTCCGCATCTTCAACGCTGCGTTCCCGCAGCCCGAGCTGTGTCACCGAGCCTGTGCCCTCAGCCCCCGTGTCCCCGCGCCCACCGGGCCCGCGTCCCCCAGCGCCAGAGCACCCGAGCGGGGACGGGACCGAGGTCCCCGGGGTGCCCGGGGCTGGTACTCACCGGGGCGGGAAGGCGGCGGGGCAGAGCCGCTGCACTTCGGCTGGAGCGAGGGAAGAGAGAGCAAGGTCTGTTTAGCATTAACGCTGCAGCAACAGGAAATAGTTCGGAGGCGGCTGGCGGTCAGCGCTCCCGCCGGAGCCAATGGCAGCCCCGGCCGGTGCTGAGCGGGGCGCGGGGCCGGGGCTCGTCCCGCTCCCCCGGGACGCCACGCTCGGCCCGGCAGCGGAACCGCCCCGGAGCGGGGCCACAGGCGGCTCCAGGCCCCGTCCCGGCCCTGTCCAGCGCCCATCCGGCCAGGCCGGGCTTGGCTGTGCCCAGCCTAGGCTGGGCTGGCAGTGCCGGAGCCAAGGAGCCCTCCGGGCTGGGGGGCTCAGCCCCGGTGTGGGTTTGAGGGAGCTGCCGGGGCTGGTGCCAGCGCCACGGAGGTGGGGGGCACGCAGGGTGGTCCCCTCAGCTCCACCAGCCGAGCTGTGGGACACGCCAGGGCTGCTGGGGCCGGACCTCGGGGACACGAGGCTCCGCATGCCACCGCTGTCCCCAGCGCGCACTCCAGGCCGGCCCGGGAGGGACAGGCTCAGTGGCACTCGGGGCCCTGGGCCAGGACAGGGCTGGGGGTCCCATGGGGCACTCAGGGCCGCTGATCTGTGAGCCTGCCCCCCTCCCAGAGCACATCAGTACCCCAAAATCCCCCATGCCACCCATCCCTCCCACCCTTCCCTTGGGGTCGCCGGGCTGTCGTATGAAGTTTTATTGCCGACATGCAGGAGTAGTTCCGATGTAGTACAAAAATAACGTCTTTATACAAATTGTTTTCCTTTTTTTTTTTCTCTTTTTCTATTTTTTCCTTACAACAGGCTTTGTCCCGCCGTGGCCCTGTGGCCCCCCTCATGTCCCCTGCACCACCCCCTTCCAGTTTGCCTTAGCACAAGTGGATTGACCGGTGCTGCCACTGCAGGATCCTGGTGTGATACAGCCTCAGGGAGTCCCAGAATATTGCTTTTTGCTTTAACATTGGGGAAAAACAGTAAAAATAAACAGGGAGTGAGGCAGGAGAGAACCAGAAGGAGAGAGCAGGGCCCTGCTGGGGTGCTCAGGGGATCCCTGCCCTGCTGCTGGTGGCACAGGGGGTGATGGGCCCACAGGACAGACCCACCATCTTCAAAATAAATAAGGCGAAAGAGTTGGGGCTACTGGCTCAGCTGGGGCGGTGCAGGGAGCTGGTCTGTGTTAGTGTTCACGAGGCCCTGCCTGGCCCCAGGGCCTTGGCGAGGCGCAGGCAGGACGTAATGCCCGACATGGCCAGGGAGGTTCAGGTCCAGCCCCCTGTCCCCACAAAGCCACTGCTGGCGTGGCCCAGCTTAGACCCTGTCCCCTTCCCCAGCCCGGGGCAAGAAAAGGCAACAACACGCTACAAACATCTGCAAATCGCTCCCTGCCCACGCCCACTGTGCTGCAAGAGCTGGGCCCAGAGAGCAGTGCAGCCCCAAAAAGCAGGACAGCCCCCCCAGCTCCAACCCTCCCTGCTCACAGGACTGGCAGGAGGGCAATGCCAGGGCTGGGAGCAGACAGGAGCAGGGAAGGAGGCAGCTGAAGAAGGTGCTGCCTTGAGCAGGAGCCCTGGCCAGGGCACTGGGAGCCCTGGGAGCTCTGTGTGAGAACAGTTCATCTGGCAAGACAGGCATCCAGTTCATAAATGAGGCTCAGAAACAATCGTTCCTGCTCTCAGCACAGGCCAAAGCTCTTCCAGTGGCACCAGGTGACAAACCAGGATGTCCTTCTCCTGCCTTGGCATGAGGGCAGAGGCAGCCCCAGGTTTGGGCTGGGATGGCAAGAAAAGCTGGGAACAAATACAGTAGAGACTTCAGCCAGCCCTCCTATCTCTAGGCAAATTATTTTGGGAAGCTTTTCACATTATAACTCATATATTACATCTGTACCACAACTGAGGGGGGAAACGCTAAATCAGAATTAATGCAACTGTAACTGCACCTGGGATATGCTACTGAAAAATAAGATTAAATCATAGATCCTTATAAACTAAAGGAATCAGTGAGAGGGGGGAGAGGGGGCAGGAGCCCTGGCGGGCCAAGTCCTGCAAAACCTTTGAACTGGGGACAGGATCTGATCCCTGCCCGGACTCCTCAACTCCTGCCTGAGGCGGTGGCCGGGCTCTCTGGTCACAGCGGTGGCCACACAGGACTGGCCAGCATGGCCTGACCAGGTGGCACGTAAGGACAGAAACAGATTTGATGCAGATGAAGGGAAGTGGGAGGTTTCAAGAAATTCTGCCTTTCGAGAAACCCTGATAAATCCAAGCTTATTCAAACCACACGGAGCGGGCGCCACGGGCCGGCTCCGCGCTGCACGGCCACGGCTCTGTGCCAGCAGCTTCACCCTTGGAAGTCTCCTCCTTTCCCACGGGCTTTGCTCGATCCAGAGAACAGCATGGTTAAAAAGACAAGAGAGGTAGATTACAGTCATGATCAAAAGCAGATTAGTCATCTAGGCTTCGATTTTAAAAAACAGATTCCAGAAGATGCCAAGAGGTTGCTGCTTCCAAAACTAGCTTTTCCAAAAGTCTTCTCCGTCCGGAGCGGGTGTGAGTGCGTGTCCCTGGACAGAGCTTGGGATTGCTACATTATTCCCCGTCGTGGGACACCGGTATTGCTGTAGGCTGGAGCAGGCGAGGTGAGGGCAGGCTGCAGGGTGGTGCTCGTGCTCTTGGGGCATGGGAAGCTACTTCCGGAGGTACCTCTGGGCCAGGATGGCCGCGTCCAAGGGGTTCATGGGCTGCGCGTCGTGGCCCAGGCGCCGCACCGGCGGGATGTTCCCGAACTGCCGCTTCTGCAGGAAGCTCTTGGCCTCATGCAAGGTGTTCTTCTCCTCGGCCAAGAGCAGCTGCTGCCTCATGTAGTTCTCGAACTCGTACTGGGAGCACTCCTCCGTCACCTTCACCTGCAGAGACCGACCTGTCAGAGCCACACCTGGCAGCCCCACGGCTCCTCTGATGGGCCTGAGCTACCACGGGATAACTGGGGTCATAACCCTGGAAAGGGCCCTGCTGCTGGGGATGCAGGCAGGACTCCTCGTGAGCCAGCAGTGCCACGAGGACACAGGCCACCACAGCAGCTCTGTCCTGACATGGCTCATCCCAACCCTGGCAGCATTGAGGCTGCAGCTGCATGACCTCTGTCCCTGCGGCACGGTCACAGACCCTGGGCAGCCAGGCCATGGTTGACACTTCTAGCATGAAACATACCAGCAGGAAAACAGGATGTTTGCTCCCATGGCAGAGCTCACTGGGAGCCAGAGCCAACACTGCTGCCTCCTCCCAGCATTCGAGGGAGTGAGCGCTGCTGGGAGCGGAGAGAGCTGCTCTCATCAGCTCCGGGGCCGAGCTCACTTCCTGGCAGCTCAGCCAGCTGGATGTGCCTCCTGCTCCCAGCAGCATCGGCCTTTCCTTCCGCTGCACAACGTGAGGGACTCGGCTGTGTCCTCCCCACCCTCCCCTTCCCAGCTGGAGGACACAGTGGGTGCCATCACAGACAGATTGGCACAGCAGCACAGAGAAGCAGTTCTGTGGAAAGCAGGGAAACCTACCTCCTGGGGGTTTTCGGGATTAGCCACTTGGTCATCTATGTCCGGCACCACTTGCAAAGGGCCACTCAGCGAGGACATGGACTGCCTGCAGGAGAGCACAGCATTGGGATCCAGAGCATGGCACTGGCTCAGCCACCCTCAACCAGCCCCAGGGTGATCCCACTGGGATGGCCACGGCTGCCATAAGCACTTGCACAGGCCTCTCCAGCTGTATCCATCAGCACACAGTGGTGGACACATGGGATTTAAAGGCTTACTGCAGTTCCCAGACTCTCCTCTGGTGAGGTGAGCCAGCCACAGCTGGAACAACACAGCCTGTGGCCAGAGACAGCGTGTCCTGTCTCCCCGTGCACATACCAGGACGCTATGATGGAGCTGAGGGAATCCAGCACTTCAGAAGCCGTCAGCCGCTGCTGCGGGTCCAGGACCAGCAGTTTCCGGATCAAGCACACAGTGTTTTCAGAGACCCGGCCATCCCTGGGACAGACAGCACGGGGTGAGCCTGGGGTGGGCACAGCGTGGCAGGATGGACATGCTGGGAGCACAGGCCAGGAGCAACACGAGCCATCACTGCTCTGCTCCTTCCCACAAGCTGTCCCAGCCCTGCTCCTGCTTCCTGCACACAGCCTGCTGTCAGTACTGCTGTGACCCTTGGGGTGCTGAGGGGAGCCCCTCCAGCTGCAGCTGGCCCAGCAAGCCCCCCGTGGCCAGGCAGGAAGGGCAGGCTGTACTCACTCGGGGATGGTGTACTCGGCAGCCTTGATTTTGCGGAAGAGCTCCTGAGGTATGCTGTCGTAGAAGGGGAACTGGCCGTAGAGCATGGTGAACAGCACCACCCCCAGCGCCCACATGTCACTGGGCTTCCCACGGTATGGCCGGCCTGCAGGGAGAGGGCACACACAGCCTGAAAATCCTGGAAAGCACAGCCTGGCAACCCCCTCACCTCCCACAGCGGAGACGCTGAGTAACCCTCACATGGGACCCTTTTTCTAAGCATTAACCATAACACTTAAGGCTTCCCCTAACATGACACCAAAACTCTTTCCAAGGTGCATCCTCTGTGAATGAGCAAATTGTCAACCTCCACACAGGTGTCCTCCTGTTCCCAATGGAGCAGGAATATCCCTGCTGTGAACCAAGGGCATCAGGTAGTTGGAACTGCTGTGTTGGAGCTCCTTGGTCAGTGTGCCTCACACAGAGACACCCAGCTTGCAAGGTGGAGGGAAATCAGGGACCAGGGAGCACAGGGCAGGAGGATGCAGGAAAGAAGACCAGACAGGATAAAGCTGAGCCCATGGAGAAGGCACTCTGACTGTGGGATGAATCTAGTACACAGCCACTGAAGCCAGATGTAAAGGCACAGAGTGTGCAGAAGGTGCTTTCCTGCACAAAGACATTAGACAAAGACACTAGACAAGCCCTAACGCAAGGCTGCTGCAGCCCCAGGATTCACCTGATGGAAATGCTGCTTCTAAGTGCCTTTGGTCACAATAATCAGCACACAGCAGCATGGACAGGGTCACATAATCAAACCCCAGTGCTACAGCAGAGCTCAGGACTCAGGGAGAGACTTCCT